AGTTGAACAATCCTTTCGTACTTCTCACCAGCGCTCAACCATTTTATTTCTTTTTATTCTTAAGAGTGTTCAAAATCAAATTGCCGAATACTGAAAAACTGAAAAAAAAATAATAAAAGTACTGAAAACAAATGTCACAAAGCATACGAAACAAGGCCAAATCACGGTCGTTTTTGCTTTTTTCGTTGTTTGTTTGTTTGTTATATATGTCTATTAAAAGAACAAAAAGTGTACAAAGTACGAATAAAAATAAATATTCTAAGGAATAATTACATATTAATTTTCAAACAATATGATTTTTTTTTCTTTGCATAGGTACCAGTATGTTCGTCTTGATGGAACGATGTCGATCAAAAAACGGCAGAAGATTGTAGACAGATTCAACGACCCACATGTGAGTGGAACACAATAGACACTTCCACGGTTTTCTTTTTTTTTTTCAGTTTTGATCAAGACCAGGTAGCGAATATTCATTGACACCTGCTGGAAAGAGCGCATTCACAAAAGGAAATTAAAACTTACCGAATTTAAAGGTGATGCGTTGAAAGCGAGCAAAGATCTTACGTTCAAACTTGGCATCTTTACTCATAGAACCCTTTAAGTGCCAATGGTGACCAACATCAATTTTCTCCTAACAATATCCATACATTATTAAGAGAAATGGTTGCGAGAATTAGTCAAATGATCACCAAAGAGAAAATTCTTTGTTCTTTTTATTAAATTTTCTCAACTTATCCGTAAAGGAAATGTATGAATATCAGTTTGGAGAATTTGTATGTGGAAATTGGGGCTTAAACGGTTAAAGGCGTTTTCCTTTTAGCCCTATTGACGGATTTTCGCTAACTGGTCCCAGTCAGAAGTTGAAATAACCGTGGTGTGGTCTGTTTTTTCGTGTTATTTATCGTTTTCATACTGGCCAAGATGGCGTTGGAAATCGTGGGAAGGTATCTAAATACTTGCTCACTTGGATCGCCGTTTTTGTCATGCTGTAGGGAAGCGACTTTGTATTCATGTTGAGTAGTAAAGCTGGTGGATGTGGCTTGAATCTGATTGGTGCGAACCGACTTGTGATGTTTGATCCTGATTGGAATCCAGCCAATGACGATCAAGCAATGGCCCGTGTGTGGAGAGACGGACAGAAAAAGAAGGTGATTGGACATTTGACATCAAAAATTGAGTTAAAAGTTAACTGACATACTGGGAAAAAAAGTAAAAGTTTCTAATAATAGATTAATTTATCTGTGATAAATAATCGGATACCGGTTCAGACGTTTGCATAGTGATTAAGTGCACTCATTAACTTACATTAAATATGTTTGATCAGTAGTTCTTTAAAGTAATTAAGTTCGTGTTTTATGTACGTTTACTCGAAAGGTTTAGTTAATCTTAATTTTATCGTCTTTTCAGGTCTTCATTTACAGACTACTGTCGGTAAGTTTGCATTTTTAACGTATAAAGTAAAAAGTAGTAGAGAATAAAACTAAAACCCAGTATGAATTACGTACGTTGAGTTGTTGAATTTGACATGTAGTCTACTTGCCAGGGACAGTTGCATAAAACCTTCTTAAGATAAGAGGGCTCTTAACTTTTTGTTCTGGAACAATAACCTATTTTTTAGAACTAATAGTTACGAGTTCCCTTAATCTTAAGATGTTTTGTGCAACCCGATCCAGGCCTTCAAACAAAGCGTCTCTGTAAAACTTCATTCACTACTGCTGTATCATTTTTCTTATATTATTTGTTTTAAACAAATTAACTACAACTACGTTTTGTGTTGACTTTCTCTACCCGTCAGATTTCTCAGCAAAGTAGTTGTCTCGCTTTGCGTAAAGCCCGATTTCCTTGTTAGAGAGACTTCGAATCATTGTTTTTACGGCAAATAGCACTCAATCAACATCAGATTCAAGGTAGCAATTTCTAAAATTACGAAATGAACTGACAAAAACTGTGTAAAATTCTCATGGATCAACCTGATGTGAAATTACTAGTTTTTGAGTACACATGATAATTAAAAAGCGCTAAGAGACAAGTAACATATCAAGAAAAGGGAATCAAATTCGAAAACAATAGGTTTTGTTTTCTGGTGTTGAAATGGCCATGTTTGGTCATTTTTAAAACGGCTAAAACAATGGGACAAGTAAGTGAAAACGTGGTTTCGTGAACGTGAAAGTGAAGGTCAGCATGATTCTAAATATTCCTATCGTTGTTGGTTAATAATTAAAGAGCGCCGAGCGGTAAAAGACAAGTAATGCACGTGTCAGCGACGGGTCTGCATCACGTCGTAGATATGCCAACCTCGTTCCCAGAGCCTGTGATCCTTTCCTTCCGCTGGACAAGGGTCAACAAAGGTTCTGGGGAGAGGATTGCAGGCAATATTCATGGCGCCATTTTTACACCAGAATCGAGTGAAACAAAATTGCATGTTTGCAAACGCAAAGAGAAAAGAAAAGAAAGATTTGTATGTGGTACGAGGGATCAAGTCAATACGTTCGACGCAAACTGCTCTCTATACCATGAAAGAGAATGTGCGAAATTTCTTATATTTGAACTGGGGAGAAGGTAACACGTGAATCTGTTCATTGCTGTTGCGTACAAATGTACACAACTACTCTGGAAGATTTTTTACGGGTGAACGCTTCCTATCCCGTGCTAGAGTCCCGTAAACGGACAGGATTAAGTTGGTAGCCCCTCTTTCAGTTTGGATGAATGCAATGGTAAAGTGAATGGACACACTTTTCCCATGCCTCCTCCACAAACTGTCCCAAGGCTGGGAAAGGGAGCACGGACTTAAAAAAGGGTGCTGGAGAAAAAGCAAGTGGTGCCAGTAGGGGATGATGGGAACGAGCGCGGAGCGAATTCGGGGAGTAACGGGAAGAAAAACAGACACAGGGGAACGCTTCGTCTTTATTCCCTTCCCAGCTCTCACTTTTGCCCTCGCTTTCCTTAATTATTAACTAAAATATGTCCTAAAATAAGCGATCTCGAGCAACTTGAGAAGAGGCAGCCATTTGCTCCTGAATCACTTCCATGTTCTGGACAATTTTTTTTCCTTTGTAGACAGGTACTATAGAGGAGAAGATCTTCCAACGGCAGGCTCACAAAAAAGCACTGAGCAGTTGTGTGGTGGACGAAGAGGAAGATGTTGAAAGGCATTTCTCAGTTGGAGAGTTAAAAGACCTCTTTCGTTTGAATGAGGACACAATCAGCGACACTCATGACAAGTATGTACATGTGCCTTTTGTTTTGAAGATGGTTTTGTCATCGACTATCTTGCAAAATGTATCGGCTGAGGTTTTCCAGGACCACCAGTGGCAAATGCAATGTGTGCAATATCAAAAAACAGTTGACAATCCAAGATCAACTGTTATCAGCCACGGTTTTCATACCGGCTACTGAATGGCTGTAGACTGATACAATCATCTACATTCCTTGTCTCCAAACCCTAAATCCCTACCCCTATATTGCTTTATCTACCCGTAGAAGCAAATCTTAAGATAAGACAGATACAAGGTGCTCCGGGTCATTTTATTTCAATAGTAGAGAGTTTAAGATTCACGTATACGGCAAACGTCACATTCAAGTTGAGAATTTCTCAAAATAGAAAACGAGCAAATAAAAAAAACTCAAAACAATTGTTATGGATAAAAAATTGCGTGAAGCTACTTAATTTATGTGTTGAAATAATGAACCGTAAACGATAAGTAAAGGGGAAACTTGGTCACGTGGTACAAATTCGCGTTTGCCGTTTGACGTAAACGTGATGCTTAACCTCTCCAATGACTTGAAAACCTTCACCAGCTGCTGCATGGCTCTTCTTTGTTTTCCGTAGATTCAGATGCCGTCGATGCGTGAACAACAGTCAGGTAAGGCCTCCACCTGATGGGAGTGATTGTAGTGCAGACCTTTCTCAATGGCACCACTCTTCAGACCCAAAAGGACTGGAAGACATACTGTTAAAGGGAGCATGGTCGAGCGGAGTGACATTTGTTTTTCACCACAAATCCCATGAGAAACAATTAGGCCTGTGACTGGTCACCAAGAGAATGCTCTACACGCAGGCTAATGCTCTATAATGGTATAGAGACACTTTAATTTTGTTACCGCAATTAAAGGAGCTGTGTCACGAAATTCACGGCCAAATTAGGTAATTACAAAATGCCCGTTAAATTAAGAGAAACGTAAAAATAACCGCTTATAACATTAAAGGAAGGTTAAAATAACACAACAGATACAACAGATGTCACGGATGGGTAAAACTGAAAAAGATTGGAACGGATTGAAACTAGGGTTTTGAAAATGGTTCAGCCTAACAGTTTTTCAAACTTGATCTCTGCTGTTTGCAACTTCAAAAATAATGCTCAGGAGACATATTTGTTTGTCTCGAATCTCTGATTTTGTCATTTCCATGTAATTTTCTTGCTTACTTTAAGTTCCATAGCGATTGAGGGCGAGTAATTGGCGAAATTAAACAAACTGAACTGGATTGCCGTGACACAGCCCCTTTAATTTTTAAAGGCTTAGCTCACAAGCTTATTATTGACTACGGGTATTTGGCTGAAGTGCCCTGTAGTCTTAGCTACACATTTTAAAGCCAAAGGTTTAATTGAATAGGGAGCTGTCCTCTTCTTCAATAGCTAAGCACTGTGTTAAAACAGGCAGGGTCAGGATTACTGGAGATGTTTGGAAAGGTTATGTGCTCGTGAGGTTGCTTAATAGATAGAAATATAATAAAAACAGTCTTTTAAACATATTTCCCAATACTGCACATGTCAACAGGTGAATTTCAAAAATATTATTATTGCTATTATTATTATTAATTATTATTATTATTCTATTTTACTTTTTTGTGTAGTAAAGGCTATGTTTTTTTTTTATTATTTCTTTAGATAAGAGAATAAAATTTACAATGTAATAAATCCTGCTAATTTATTCTGTCTTAATAAAATCGATTTGGTAATTATAAAGTTTACACAACTTCTGTTAAAGATAATTTGCCATTTTCTGTAAGATGCAAGTCAAGGATAGTTGATGCAAGAAACGAAGAGGGGCCTTTTTGGAGGTTCAAGGGGTTGAGGTCACAAATGTAATAACAGGTGCTAAATGTAATAAGGGTGCCAGATGTAATACAGAATTGCTGCCAATTGTAATAAGGAATGGGTCACAAGGGTCACTTGATTATATAATTAAGGTGGGGGTGGGTCACAAATTGAAGTACTGTCGTGTTTCTTGAGTTAACAGTTTGCCATTGATGACCACAATATTCAATACTAGTATCATATTAATTTGCAAAATCAAGCCCCATAACTCATAAACACCAGTTTTCTTTGATACATAGTACCGCATGGAAATTTTCTGCTTTGGGCAAACAAAAGCTTTATTTAAGTATTACAACTTAAGTTTCCGGGATTTCACAGTTAACGGTAATTAAGCAACTGAACAATCACTAACTTTTTCTCATTTGCTTAGGAACGCGTTGCACGGGACGGGTATAAGCTCATCCCCTAGCGAAACTTTATTTGTCTAAACAATGTCCTGCCATCTTGCATGTTTGCCATAAATCTTCCAATTGACCCTTGTTGCGATTAAAAAGTTAATTACAGTTGTGAGCAACTCTTCTATCATTTGTGCCTGTGTTACATTTTTATGATAGTCTTCTCTCCACCTGCCTTCGCAGGCTACATTTGTGACCAATGACTTAAAACAAAAAGTGATCCTTATTACCGTGTACATTTGTGACCTTCTCCTTATTACATGTTGCATCAATTTCTTGTAACATTGTATCTGAACCGTCATTACATTCGGCACCAACTTGGTATTGCATTTGGCACCCTTACTGCATTTGGCACCAATTATTACATTTGTGATCTCAATAGGGATTATTCTTTCACTATGTTAATTTGAAAACTGTAAAATCGACGCTGTTATTTTAAGAGTCTTTACTGGCGTTTCGGCAATGCTGCCTTCTTCAGGGTGCAAGACTAAATACCGTTAAACAGTTCATTAAAATTAGCACACGTGCCCAATTGCATACTCGCGCGTGTGCCACTTGAAAAAGCCTGCGCCGGCGCGCAAGTAAGCCAAGAAAGATTGATTCACGTGAAACTAAAGTCTTGATAAAAGCCACTAGGACGCACAGTCCCATATTTGGAAATCAACCTCATCTGCTGCTTCGTATGGTATTCCTGGTTGGCTAGGCCTGCCTTCAATACAGCAACCTTCATTCCCTCCAGTGTATGATTGGTTTGGTTGAAGTAAGCAGGTACATGAAGGTCATTCCTCCCGTTAATGGCATCTCACGGTGCTCTCTAAAGCGGTCCGCCAACCTGCGTCCAGTCTCCCCAATGTCCATTGTTGATGGACATTCTTTCACTACATTCGTTATCCTTCATGGCACGATGGTTGACATCTTAGAATCAATGATACTCTTCTGTCTCTTGGTACAACCTGTCCTTTCCAAACAGATTCATCCTCACTTAATATTTCATGTGTAAACTGGTATCTTACAGCATCCCTGAAAAATTTGAACAAAAAATATATATAGTCCAATAGTGAACTACTCAAATCCTGAGTGCATGGGTGTTTAATACAAACTTGTTTCGTAGGCCACCGAAAAGGTGACCCACTCATCAGTTAAACGCCATTACAACACTGAAGCGTTAGGGTCTACATCAACAATATGATTGCGTGATCAAAACGGTTACACATGACGCTTGAAATATTATTCAAATTAAAAAAAACAATAGAATGAAAAGTGCGCACGTGCTCTTAATCGCCTACAACTCTTATACGAAACCTAAGTCACACTAAATGCTCATGCTAAAATCTCTGGCTTTGACATGTTCAATAATAACTTAGGATGAACTTGCGTCGATGTCTACATTATTGTAGACATTCATTTTCACATTCATTTTCTTGGGGAAAGTTGCCCGGTGTCATGTAAACACCCCCTGAGATTCAAAGTGATTAGTTCATTTCTTTCGTTTTATTCCGTTCAGCCTCAGGGTCAAGAATGAATTTTGATAAATTCAAAACAAGCCTATGAAACAGAAAATGGAAGTGTAACCGTTTGGCCCCCAATATCCACTTAAAAATTCTCCAGACTCATCTCCGTACATTTCCTTAAAGAATTAGTTTAATGAGAGAATTTGATAAAACATCAAAGCATTTTCCCTGATCATTTTATTACTTCTCATTACCTTTTCTCTGGGTGATGCAAGGGTCATGTTACTTAAAGGGTTAACATACATGTATACCTTATAATGTAAAGTGATCTTGGCTGGAGAAGAGCATCCACCTTGACATTAGAAAATTTTTCATGTTTAAATCGCATAACTGATGGAGAAAGGAGGCTAATGCCAGATATTACATCTCCACAAAACTGAAACAAAAACAAGTCCAAAAAAAAAAAATTAATCAACCTTAGAACTTATGGACTTTCATCCCTTTCTTTGGCAAGTACCTCTGTGGATATGATCATAATATTAAACTGTTACACTGTGGGCTTTACCACAAATTGCTCAGCAAAAAAATATCTTTTGAGTACCCAACAGGATTCGAAACAATGACCTCCTGAACAGCAGGCAGGCGTTCTATAGGCAAATCTTTGCTGATGTCACTGATGTCATTTTTGCTCATTAGCATGCCAGTTGACCCATAGAAGACGTCTCCTTATATACAAATTAAGTTCGAAAGTCAAATGAACTGCATAATTAATTTTTTAGGAGTTTGCACAATTTTCTGCTCTTTGTATTCAATTACAAATGGAATATCAGTAATCAAGTTTAAAGTTGCGGGGTGGCAAAAACGTGAACCAATAGGGTTTTTCAAGAGAATTTCTTCGAAACTACTGTATTTTGGCCCAAATTTTTCAGAGATAAGTGAAATTGTATTGCTCTTTAAATATTATTCAGGGATTATATTTTATTATGTTAATGAGATGAGGCAAAAAATGTAAACGAAGATTAATTCTCCTATCCAAAGAGATGAGGAGAGACCCATGGAGAGCTAGGCCATATTGTACTAAGATCGTATTTGACACACATCAACATAACTATACTGCTACAAATAGTAAGAGCCCTTTTAAATCTTGAAACACTATGTTGTGTTCAGTTGATAAGGGGAATAAAAATACGTCATGGTTGCATTTTATTTTACTAATAAGAGCTATTTATCTACAACCTCAAATCCACTGATAAACTTTCAGACACATGATGTATACTAATCCCTGCTGGTAAAGATTATAAAATTATGTTTCATTGTTTTTGTTTTTGTTTTGTTTTGTTTTTTTTACATACCTTTACACTGTCCACATGTGGTTTAATATGCCTAAAATGTTAAATGAAATGACTCTCAGTACATTGCTGTTTATTTACTTATTTGTTTATTTAAATTTATTATTTTTCATTTTTTATAAACAACTCAAAATGGCACTTAAAGAGAATGAGCCAAGCAATACTAATATTGCAATTATTAAGTAATACCATTTTGTTGTTGCATGGACGGGTGTACATATACCTGTACATTTAGCTGCTATTAAGTGCTATCAATCGTGTGACAGACTTAAACCAAAACTGTTCTCTCAAACAAAATACCATACAGGTAAAAAAAAAGTACATAGTACATGTAATCGGAAAAAAATCTGGCAAGGTCTGAGATTGAATCCAGTTTTCTGGCACTTCCATTTACTTTCTCTTGATGAACAAGTTATATACTGTACACTGTATGTTGCTTTTGTTTATGTTTTTTTAAAATTAATTTACTGATTAATTACCATAGACTTCTGATTTTAGGCTCTCCCCCCATTTATAGGCCCATATACCTGTAAACATCTGGTTATAAGCCCAACTGCACCCCTGCCCCCCCAACCCCCGAATATAGCACTGCTATGCACTCTTTTCACTCTGGTTATAAGCCCTCACAAAAACCGTGTAATCCCTCCCAAACCCCCTTACAAAGTTGTATAAGCCCAGGGCTTATAATCAGAAGTTTACGGTTCTATGATTATGATTATTTTACTTTTATTTATTTATTTATTTATTTATTTTATTTTATTTATTTATTATTATGACTATTTTTTTATTTCCATTTTATTATTATTTTTTTTTTACAGTTAATTGTAGCATTCAAATCTGGTAATTATTGTACATACCCTGTTTTTGCTAAATCCAACACATGAACATGAGGTAGCAGTTTTAACTCAGGATTAAATGCTACATCTCTGATTCTCTGAAATATAGACAAGCACTCTTGACTCCATCTTGATTTCTCTGTTTCCCTGTAACCATGGATTGCCTGTTATGACAATGAGGACCAGGTATTAAAATAATAATATTATGTAAAGTGTTTATGGTGGAATCCCACCCCACGGACACCCATATACATGTATAATGGACAGTTTTGTTTGTCCCAACGAAGAGCTCATAATTATATTTTATCTCAAAAGTAACCTGCTTTATAAGCACACTGATTAACATGGAGAACGGACACTTTGTGGTGTCCTGAGTAACAAACTCTCTTCTATCATATACCCCACTTCACAGACACTGGTTACCTGTGCCTTGTCTATTTCCTTTGTCACAATCATATGCTAAATTGTAGACATTGTACGCAGTTAAAATGATGACAGATATCTATCAGTTAATTTGATTTAATTACTTAAAAACAGTAGCAAAATAGCGTGACAAGTTTGAAGTCTGTCTTTTTACCAGTGTTTGACCCTTGTAATAATGCCCTTAAACAGGCTGAGTTTTGTTTATTTATTTATTTATTTATTTCTATTTTTTTTACCTTCTACTACATACAGTAAGTCTGACTTCCTTGGTGTTATGCTTCAGTCTTTGTGTCCAAGACGTTTTTTGTTTTTTGTTTTTTTGTGTGTATGTGTGTTTTTTTTTTTCTGAGAGCCCACTTAACATGATCACCTGGATAATACAGACACTATGGTGTGTCCCCTCAGTGTCCTTATAAACCGGGTTCCATTGTACAAGGAACTTGCTGCGGGTTAAATGGGTGTTTTCAAAATGGACATAATATGACTGCACAGTGCGGTAGTTTTCACAAATTCAACCAATGACCACTGCACACTGTGGAGTTCTCAGGAGCCCAGTGGTTAAAGAATTCAGTGACAAAGTGGTGTACAGACGGCCTTGGGTTTAATTCCCATCCGGCTCCACACATTACTTTATTATATATAGTATTTCTTTAGACTCCAATATGCAGTTACAGCTGTAAATGCAGAAAATCACAGACTGTGTCAATTTTAATTGATACAGTCTGCATGATTCAGTAATAGGCAGTATTTGTATTCTCCGACAGTCCTGGGACGAGAAGGCCTTGATCTTGAATGCAAGGCTCATGCGGGGAACTTCTCGCCAAGAGGACAAACAAATATGATAAAACTGCGCCTGAGTTTGCCGAATTTAAGGAAAATTTTTAACATTGTAAAGTTCCAAAGGGCTTACATACTTGAGAGATCATTATTTCAAACAAGAAAAAGACGATCTGCTCATTATTACTAAGAAAAACAGCGATCCTAACCATAATCATATTGATGAGAAGAGTGCTTGGTGAGCGAGTTTATAATTTAATATAAACAGAGATGTTCTCAAAATCCCCGAAGCCATTTTAATTGTAATTTTCAGTGTCCTTTAAACTTTTTGAAGAATACCTTTGATTGAAATGAAAGGTACCGGTAGAGGTTATCATTCACATCTGGAAGTTGGATTTTGTTGTTGTTTTTGTTTGTTTGTTTCTTCTCTTCACAAAAATCACTCTAATTGCAACACTATTTTCACTTGCATTAACACCTACCATTTCATTCGAACGATTTTTTTTTTATTTGGTGAGTTTTGGATAAGGTTATTGCGGTAGGTATTTCCATGATGTTTTTTGTTTGTTTGTTTGTTTGTTTGTTTTTAGGTTTAATTATGGATTGTTAAAAACTAGGGGCCATAGGCTTTTATGCCTATTGTGCCCTCACAATCTCAGTTTACTGGCTTGGGTATATACAGGGTTGTCAGAAAGTCTTGGAAGGAGATGGCTGTGTTGTCAAAGTAAGTGGCCAGTCCAGGGATATTTTATTTAAAAAACACCATTCGTAAAGAAATGCCAAGCAGAGCAGGGTGCAAAGAAAATCATTGTTACAGCTTGCCATTTGGGCAAGCTAAAGCTAGCATTTACTAGCCCAGATGTCATTTCAACTAGCCCCCAAAATGTTTTGATGAGCAGAATTGATTTCACAGTTCTTCTGTTATTTGAATTCCTCAAAAAACATCACTTGCCCATCGGGCAAGTTAAAAACAGAATTCATTAGCCCCATAGCAAAATCCACTAGCCCCAGGATATTGAACACTACTTTCTTTGCACGCTGCAGAGTAGCTGGCCGATACTAACCAAGTAGGCGGCAGCCGGCTACTTTTGACAACCCTGGTATATGTTGTAGTTATTTCTATCTCAGGTAATTTTTGTTTTTCTTTTGTTTTGGGGTATGGTTAAGTATGCTAATGAAGTTGAAACAAAAGAAAAGGAAAAATCACCTGAGATAAAAAATTAACTACAACATATATTTACATTTGTGACAATGATGTTTGCATGATTTTATTTAGAATTCATGTAATAACTGTAGCATAAAACCTATCATTTTCACGATGAAGTGCGTTAAATAATGAGGGAAACCCCTTGGGTAATGTTATAAACAATAATTGTTATTGGATGAGGTTTTTGTGATATCCAGAATAATCAAGGTCGAGGTAAGTGTTATCAGCCAAGCCGAAGGCCGAGGCTGATAACACTTACCAAGACCTTGATTATTTGGGATATTGCAAAAACTGAATCTAATAATTGTTTTATTATACATTGTTTTGAAGAAAGTAATGACAAACACATTGCCGCAAGAAACCTGAATTGACATTGTTACTGGAAATCATGCATTGCGTGCACAACCTACAAATTAGGCAGTTATCTGCTAGTAGATAACTAGATAATCTGTAGGTTGCCTTGACTTCCAAAATAAGCTGTAGGCTTTTAGCCAATGAGAAGACAGATAGTGAGTACAATGTATAATAATAATGTTAATTCAGTAAGATGTAATGTTAGCTTAAAGTAACTTAAAATTGCTGAATCAACCGAATCAAGTAATTTATAATATTATTACAGGTTTTTTGGTAATAGTGATGAGAGACCAAAGACAATTATACTCACGTCATCCCAGTGATCATACTGATACTTTTGCCTTTTCAAATATGGTTCGACCTCCTTAAGAAGTAAATCTTCCTCCTCCTCAGAGACAAAGTTCTCACGAATTTCCAAATTTCCACTGACCAAATCTTGAACCTTCTCAAGCTCTTCTATACCGCAACCGTCCGTTGTGAAAGAGATCCTGGCCTCCTCTTCTCTGAGTACAGGGACTCTACTAGATAAATACCTCGTCAAATATCGCAGAGATTTGGCATTTAAAGCAGAAAGGCGCGAAGAAAAAAGTGATCTGCACAAAAGTATGGCACCCTTGTCCGCCATCTTGGACCTTGTTTTAAAGCCGCTGTCTCCAAGGATCAAGGCTCATGATCGTTTTGGGTCACATGATTTTTTCGTCCTATATAAGGAAGCAGTTTCGCGGGAAGGAAACGAAGCGGGAATTTTTAAAGATGGAAGCAGCAACGGCAGCGGAAAGGTTTGTAGATTTTACTGTTTTACATTATGTCAAGACGATATTTGATCATTGAAGTCCTATATGTTATTTGGACAACCAGTTATTGGCTTGTAGAGGAGCTGGGGAAAAATCTAGACCTTTGTAGATCCCTTTTTACAAACATTCATCAATCGATTTTCAAGGATGTGCTTTTAAAAGCTTTAATTATCTCCAGATACATTTGATTTCTCAAACGTATAGTAGATCATTTCTCAGCGTATTTGATTAGCACATCCGAGAGGTTAGAAATGCATTTAAAAAATTATCTCTCCAAGTCTTTCTAAGTGGAAATACAGTACGCTTGATTTAAAAATCCATTTAACGGTTGAAATTACTAATGGAATGCAATGTTGTTCTCTTTTGCAGGAAGGCTAATGGCTTCTGTAGGTAAGCCAGTTTAAAATATTTCATGAATTTAAGACGGTCTTATTTCCCTCTAATCGTGAAAGGTATTGGTTGTGGAGTTTTGCTCTTTTAGAATTGAAGATCTCTGTCAAACATCGCATGAGATTGATAGCAAAACTTGTGTTACCTAACCTTTGTTGCATAAATTAATACCTTATGTTCAAGTAAGGTAATTTTTCTTTACCAGCCCCACAGGAACATTATACAAACATTTGCTTACCCTCCACATCAGGAGAAAGTGTTTTTATCAATGCTCTCACTCCTTTCGCCAGCGGGAGACCATAGGGAGTTTTGACATCTTTACTCGTAAATGATCGAACTCCAACCGTTTCCACCCCTGGGATTTTCCTCGGCTATCATAACTGTCACTGAGCCAAAAGAAAATCCATTGATAAGGACACTTGATCATGTAATAAAGGACCTCAAACACTTAACTGGACAAATCCTGAAAAACAATAGCAGTATTTCCTTAGCCTAAATATCATATCTAGAGATCCCTAGGGCTCCAGTTGTTATTAAACAGCTTTCACTAACTTGCTTATTGTTTCTCTTAGGTACTATATACGTGGAGAGTGTAGGGAAGGAGACAACTGTCGATTCTCTCATGACAACAAAGATGTCCCGGTAGGCATAATCTCTCACCCCGTGTAAATTAGATTCAGTAACATAACTGTGGAAAATATGACCTTCATTTTTCATGGAATCAGGTGGAACATTGCAATAATCTACACATGGTTTTAACAGTTCCATTAATAACATGCAGTTTCGGACTTTTTTTTTTTTTGGTTTTTCTATAAAAATTAAATAATGTGGCAATGATTTTGAAAATTATGGGGAAAGTCGAAAAGTGTGTTACATTATTGTAGTTGTTGTTTCTTCTTAAGCCACCCAAAGTTTTGTAAATAAATAATGCTACCATAGATGAAAGACCTATCTGCCTGTCAATCTGTCTGTCACTGTGTTTCTTATTTGAGATCTGTCCCAAAGTTAATAGATTGTCTAAAGCTAAATTCCCATACTTGATAAGGTTTGCCACTATTACCAAGAAGGACGTTGTCTATTTGGCAAGGATTGCTGGTACAATCATCCCGATGAGCAACAGTTTATGTAAGTTGACCTAATGATAATATTATTGAGATTTGAAACTTTTAAGGGTTCCACACAAAACTGAAGAGGAGAAATTTTTAGCCCACTGAATTATGGATGTATCGTCCACTAGAAACAGTAAACTCAAATATGGGCCCATCCACTAAAAAATATCCTACCACATTGGCCAAAAAGTAAATAGTAAGGATACAAGGAAAACCTATGTACTTTCATTTTATCTATATTATGAATATCTTTTAACCTTCAAATACACTGTCACCTGTAAATGTGGGAGAACAGAGAGGACAGTTCCTGCTTTAGCTTTTAAACTTGGAAGTACAGAACAATCAATACAAATTATTTTTTGACATGAAGTTTTATTTTATTACTTGTCTGCAGGCCACCCATTTATCCATCTTTGACTGTTCTTGGTAAGTGGCACAATACCATAAGCCTAGAGTGTATATATATAAGACAGTCTATATTTTTGTATAAATTTGTATGAAATTATGACAGGTGAACTTATAGTGGGATTAATGGACATATGAAAAATTAGTGATTGTAGTCATGAGTTGATGGAAAGAGTTTCTTCAGACAGAATTTCTGTAATAACATTAAAGAGGTTTAAGAAATATTACATAAGGTACCCTTCATTACGACTACCTGATAAATGTGATTACCTTCCTATTAAAATGATACAATTCTTTAAGACCAAAATTATAAGAAAAACAGTCATTTTGTTATTTGCATTGTACACGTTGTAGCCCTACTGTGGTCATCAATATAATGGTTAAATTTTTTGCTGAAACCCGTAAGCATTATTAGTAAATTACCTTCCTCATTGGTGTGATGATCAACACTGACTTTTTAACACTCTAAGTTTGGAAATCACGTGCATATTTTACCCCAGACTGTCCTTGATCCATACATTTAAAAGAGGAGAATTTCTTTAAATGCAACAATATAATGTTACACATGTATCTTTGATAATCTTTTCTTATTATTTTTCTTAAATGTCATGTTTAATTAATCAATTATTTACGAAAGTAATATGTTTTCCATTAATGGGCCTAAACTGGTTACAATCATAATTATGGTGCTGGGTAATTATTGCATTCCACTGACGAACTGAGATGGCCACACCCGTTATCATTGCTGGGACTGTGCTACTGGGAATACTGTAAACACCAAAATGTTAACTAATTATATCAAATCCTGAGAAGGTAGAAGAAAAAAACTGAACAATATCTCTAACTAACTCCACTACCTGAATTACTATCAAAGGAGATAAAATAGTCAGTCAAGGTGGATAATTCTTTAAATATGGTTTAATTGATTTTGTTGTTGTCTTTGTTTTTTTTGCTTGTTTGTTTTGTTTATCGTCTTTGTTTTGATTGTTTGTTTGTTTCAAGGGAAAGTATACTAACTCACTGAAGATTTGTAAGGGGTGTGGTGGGGAGGGTACAAGTAAAATCAAATGAGGGAGATCCATAGATGGGATTTTCTGGAAAATGCATTATTATTTTGTGCCCTATGCATAAAGATATTGTAGTTTAAATATTTCTTATATTTCTTATTTTTTTTGTATTATCATTTTTTCAATTTATCATCATTTCTTGTCAGATATTGGTCTTGTGCAACCTGCAGGCAATCTAAACCTCCTGCTAGCTGCTGCAGTCGCAGGAGTTCAGACTGATGATGACGATGATGATAGCAGTAGTGATGATGAGGGTGATCAAGAGTGTCTGACACTTGATAAAGCCATGGAGCTCTGGATGAAACACAAGACACAACAAAACGGTAAGATTACTCACTTTATAATTTGATACAAAGCATGGATATATTAACACTGGCCTCCATCAGAAAAAAATGGCCACATAACTTAAGAAAGATGGACACTCAGTGACATGGCTGTTCTAACTGCTTGGACTTTCAATCTGTCAACTGAATGGTCAGTAGACTGGAGGTACGCTCTTGCATGAGCTTCTGTATTGCTTCTTTCACCCTTCTGTAGAAATGTATACTCTTAAGTTCCAAAAAGCGTCCCTTTTTTGTGATGCTAAGAGCAAAATCTTTTGTGAGAAAATGCCTTTTTTACTCAAAAACTAAAATAAAAGCCGGCTCAGAAATTGTCCCCCCAACGAGATTTTGCTCAGGCACTTCATTACTGTAACAGTTTCTTTTCCTTTTTTTTCCCACTTTTTTCAACTAATTTCCCCTTCTTTTTAGTGGCTATCTATGGTAAAATCATTGGCTATCAGTGTTCAGTGTATCCCTCCAAATAGCGATTTTAAGATCTCAGACGTTAAGCAAAGAACTACTCAGAATTATTTTCACAGCAAATTGAATTCAATTCCTTTCCCGGGGGAAGGGGGGAGACGAGGCCCGCCCCATCTTTGCCTTACTTTACTCTCTTCCCACTCACCGGTTGCAGTCGAAAAACGCAAAGTAAGAGTTGTTTAATTATGAAGTTGCGATCCGTGTTCTTATTTCAGAAACCTTCTATTTTTTAGAGAGTAAGTTGTCCAATGAAGACCAAGCAGAAGTGGAAAGCGACGGTGACGAGTCCAGCGAGGAATATGATTTTCTTGAAAGACGAACCCACGAGTTCTTTCACGAACTCAAAAAATACGATATGACGACATGGGAGATGGAATCAGTGTACAAGCTCATCTCAAGTCTAACTGATCTTCACATTAAAGAGTTTGATGATTTCAACATCACATTAAGCATGATCTTTGGAGAAACTATTCGGCACTGGCGTCCCGAGCCATGCCTCACAGCAGAGTTGTTTTTGAGGTATCTTCATCTGATCTAAGAATCCCTGAAACCCCTCCTAATATCAAATGACATATTCTCCCTAACCCTCTCCATACATTTCCTGTGGTACTTATGGGAAGAATTTGTTTAACAGTCAAGAGCTTCTTGCTGGGTGATCATGAAAGGAGGACCTTGTACATTGCTTTAAAAATATGAAAAAATTTTATTGACAACAATGCTAACTATTAAAATCCTATTTACAATTAATTCGCTTGAAAAAAAGAAAAACTATTCATTCAAAACACTATTTACAATTCCTGTCGATTCAAAAAGCACTTAATTTAGCTTAGAAAGAGTTAATTTAACTAAGGAAAATTTATTCGAATTAAAAACATTTCATTTCAATAAAAAAAAAACTGTCAGCCTCTAAAATTCAGAGGTTTCTTTCAACTGTTTGAAAAAAATATGGACCTTGTACATTTCCTTTTATTAAAAACTGAACCATTGGATAATGCAATTCAAGAACTCTGATTGGCTTAGCCATCATGGTATATGAGCCATTATACTATGCTCTCCAAATATGGTAACTGTACGCGTCTGCTCAAAATTAAAAACAAGCTGATATAGGTTGTTTTTACAAATAAAGTCGGGAAGAATTCTTGATATTTTGTGGGCGTTTTTAATAAAACAATTTTTCCACTTGCGCTTGTTAGATATGAGATGATTATAGCCAACTTGGCTACTACCATCTCATATCCAATGGGCAGTCGTGGAATAATTGTTAATTAAGGGGCCGTGTCACGGCTGTCTCTATTTCCTTTTGTTATTATTGCCAATCACACTTTCTTATACCTTATGGAACTTAACGATGGCGAAGAAATTACTTGTACATGAAAACACTGATGGAGCTTTAACTTACATCAAGTTTGCGAAGCAAATCATTTGCCACTAGAAAAACAAAACTGATTTTAAAAGCGTCAACCATTATGAAAATCCAGTTGGTGGATGAGAAACCGCTCTCCTGGGTATAAAGCTTAAGTCACAAACTACACTGCACGTTCTTTTAACTCAAATTCTGTGTGGTAAGATACGAAAGGAAGAAGGAATAACGGAATAGCGGTGAAGGTAATAGAGGATAATGGTCTTCAAACCGTTCAGTTGATAAACTCGACATGGTTGTATACATCATCTAAACATATTTTTTTTAACATTGTTATGAGAAATATCTCTATTTTATCAAAGCAGATTTTTTGTTGTTGTTTTAGAATCTCTGAGAAAGATGACGCGGACCTTTCAAGCTTGATTTTAACCCTCTGCAATGCTCCATCGAAAGTCAAATTCCTTGAGAGTCACGTGGCTTCCATTCTAACAGCCGCACAAAGGAAATTCCCAAAAGAGTGGAATCCAGAAGCCATAGGAAAGCTTCTACAGGATGTAGAAGATAATGGGTTCAATATCGACGCCACTGAAGTGTTCCACCGTATGGGCAAGGAACTTGATGACCCAGAAGCCCTCGGGAAACTAGTGAGGAATTACCTTTTGGTAAACGCAGAGAAGGACTCGTTCAGCTGCAGATGTAAGACCGCTGAATGCGAGTGCCCGGCTTATGTGGATGAAGGAATTGCTTTTATTGTGTTTGCTGGATTGGAGAGGAAGATGAACTGGAATGAAGAAAGCAAACTTAAGTTTTTCAGAATTGCTACTGATGCATTATGGGCACCTGATGTTTTAACTGAACTGGGTAATTTTTGTGTGCCTCCCTTTGTTGTACAAAAGTGTTTAAACCGTAAGGTGGCTCGATAGGGTTTTTCAGGGGCAATACCTCCCAAGTTTGAGCATTAAGTACGTCGCCACCAACAAAGATTTGGAGAAACGAACACCACAACTGTATCAGATAAAGATAAAACTTCGTTATGATCAACAATGTAACAATGACGTCGGAGTTGTCGTAGAAACGAAATGAAAACCGCGAGAAGGTTTTTTTTTATTAATTTGAGATTCTCGAGATTGCTTGAGATTGCTAACAGTGTATTAGACAAAAATGTTAGCTATTGTTATCCACAAAAAAATGAAATACCTCGGTGGCGAATTTACCGGGGTCCGTTTCTCCAATCGCCCGTTAACTTTTCGGGTCCGGAGGCAATTTTCAGAAATCAAAACCTTTTGAATAGTTGCACAGTTCCTAGTTCACAAACCAGTTAATTATGCCTCGTTGACTGAAAGCTTGTATCATTTTCAAATGATTATTGAAAAGTTATCGGTTTGTCGGGATTTTAGAAAAACTCGCCAAGAACTTTTGAAGACTATAGCTGTACATACATAACTCGTTTGTCATTTGATTTACACAATAGGTGAGCTTTTTAACATCAAAGATCCCCTGAAAGTCTGTCATCCCAGAGTCGACAAACGCCTGAACTGCAACGCTAAAGAATTTGTTATATCTGAAGACCAAACTGCTGGCGATAAAGTGCACATGAAACCCAACAACAACAACAGCAGGAAGTGTAAAGGAGTGAGATGCTCAAATCAACCTAAAAGAGGCTGTGATTTCGACATGTGTGGGCGCTGCTGTAAGAAGATTTCAGAGCCGTGTTCCGTTCATGAGGATTTCAGCGTATTTGAACCGCCAGTTTTTCATAGAAATTACAGCTTGATGAAGATCGAACCCAAAAGATTTTTCAGGTTTGTTTTAGAATCTTTTTACAGCAATTGTCACACCACCACTTTACTAAACTTAAGTTAAGTCTGCTTGGGGAGTATTTACTAAAACCAAACCCTCTAGATTATCATAATATAGGATCTCATCCATCCATCTCACCTCATTTTTTTACATATCAATAATTGACCATAAAAAGTAAAAGTGTTATTATTATTATTATTATTATTATTATTATTATTATTATTATTATTATTATTATTATTATTATTATTTCTCTTTACTCTTCATTTTGAACAAATAAACCAACTCGAAGTTATTAATTTAATTCCTTGGTTTAAAACATGTATCTTCCTTTTACAGCTCCAGAGCCGATTTGGATAACATCTTAAGTCTGCCCACGCCCTTCAAAAGCGTAACATTTGGTTCAGATTTCTCAGTACGCGATGATGACGTCATCAAAGTGGTAGACCTATGCAAGGGCATTCTGGTAGTCCTTGAACTCGGTTCTTCAAACACAGGTGCTGGCGTGTGGCTGTCAGATACGGCCGTCCACCACATTGCTGACAACTGTCCTAACCTGCGTAAACTCCGTTTGGAATCAGTCACTGGAGTGACAGACGCCGCCGTGAGTGACGTCATGATGAAGTGCCCGCTGCTGGAAGAACTTGAGGTCAGCGGCCATGATCGTAGCTCCGGATCTCTGACCGATGAATGTATTAAGCGCTTGTTTGATTTGAGTGTGTTACCCAAGCTGAAGGGTTTGATCATCACTGATCAACTGCGCGTGCGCCATGATGTCGTGTACCGTCTGCGCAGGCGTAGACCTAATTTAAAGATTATCGCGGGTGAGACGGATAGCGATAGTTTTGCGCACTCGATGGTGCTATCCATGTGTGGATTGGATTATGGTGATGGACTGTACTAGCCGGTAGTAAATGAAGATCGTCTCACTTTCAGAGAAAAGATGTATAAAAAAACTCTCCAACTACCTTAGTACTAAAAAACGTCACGATAGACAAACAAAGTTGATGAACAACGCTACTTGCAGATGTGTCGATTTATATAATAAACTGCTTTATTCAACGTCAGTGCCTTATAGAGAACTCGCCAATGATATTGTTAGTGTGATTAGGTAATGAGTATTTCAGATTAAAAAAAAAGAGCAATGCTTTTGTCAAAGTGACTATATTGTAAAAAGTGCCATTGAACATCATCCTGTGAATGTCATCAATCATAGGCCATTGTAAGGTTGCCCTTGAGACTGGGTTAGGGTTAGGGTTTTAGGGAGCAAATTTTCACCAAGTTTCCCGCACAGCCCCGAAATAGAAAATAATTAACAATTAGTTAGATATGAGATGGTAGCGCCGAGTTGGCTATAATCATCTCATATCCAACAAGGGCGGGTGGAATAATTGTTTTATTAAAAGCGCCCACAAAATATGGAGAATTCTTCCCGACTTTATTGGTAAAAACAACTGATTTTCAGCTTGTATTTAATTTTGAGCAGACGCGTACAGTTACATATTTGGAGAGCATGGTATATTGGCTCATATACCATGATGGCTAAGCCAATCACAGCTCTAGCATTGCATTATCCAGTGATTCAGTTTTTTAATACAAATCGATAAAAAGTCTTGAAAACATTCCCATAGTGCAATTTGAAACAACATAACGACCCTGTCTCAAGTTTGGCCTTCCTTTGCTGTACACGGTCAGGCGCGGATCCACACCGGTTTCCACCGTTTTACAGAAATCGGTCACATTTTTCATACTAAATATATTTTTAATAATAAAAAACACTTTCCAAGTTGAAATCCTGTCTAAATGACTCGGAAACTCTGGAAAGGGGATTTTAAGAAGTCAAAATCCACTGAAACGCCCTGAGGGAACCCGCCCCCGGAATCGGCAAGAAGCTTGCGCCTTCGGCGCTCGTTTAGGAAATCGGTCAGTATTTATCCTAGATCCGCGCCTCACGGTAAAAGAGAAATTTCATAATCCAATGACAAGACAAGACAAGACATTTATGATCGTAACATTACAAGTACAATTGTTTGGCACGCAGTTAGCAAGAAAACGCTAGTCGAGGCGTGCCAAATTAATTCTACTACAAATCAGATATTATATTATAATAAGTAAAAAGCAAAGAAAAAGAAAACAAGAAATTTGTGTAATGAATTCAAAAGAGATTTGAGATTTTTTTGGATATATTAGAGTGCTCCTCGTGCTTATAAATTATAAGATTAGTTCCGACTGAAGCTGGTTACGCAGTTTATATTTCGTTATTGGTCACCTTGAGGAAAGGTTCCTGGAGAGCATCGTGTAAAGCTCTGAGATGGGACAAAGTTAATACGATTCGCAGAGTCTGCATCGGCCAATATCGTATTGTATTCTCGTTTCATTTGGCTAAACGGATCAATCACCCAGATCCGAGCTGAGACAGAAAGATAGGATATTGTTCGCGAATCTTAGGTGACCACTAAGTCTTTGGCCTCGCAAAGAGGCTCTTACGAGTCAAATTAATTAGGCGAGAGCAAAATTGCAGGTGAACTTTGACCCGGGCCAGTTTTTTTCTGGTGTGAAAACAGGGTCTATGCTGGCAGGTAATCGGCTCCTGTTGCTGGTGTGCCGACCGTTTGAGTGCACATCCGGGAACTTGAATAAGACGAGTGTAAGAGACAAGTCCAGAGGTGTTTATCTGCCAATAGGCTGAATTTTTCCGAGTTATTTGATGATATTTCCCTTGTGTTAAACTTGAGAAGATTATGCGTGGTTGTAGATAGTCTTATCAGTGCCGAGAAAGTGTGTGATTTCCAAATGGTGTTGACAGGCAAAACTCAGGTATGTGGTCGCGTGGTTTAGCTGTTGCACCAAAATGTTCTGTGCCAGCCATAAAAACGTTTCGTCGGTGTTTAGCTTAGCTGATTGTGCCTTGTTGGAAAACCAACTCTCGACTCAGGAAAATTGGATCTAGGTCTAGTTTCAGCAGGCTTTTGGATTTGAACCATAGGCCGGTTCAGTTTGCAGATAACTGAAGGTGTAGCCTGAGTATCAGGCCTTCCTAAGAGGCTAGGGGAGAGGAGATTTTAGATGGGGGAGGGGGGAGGGGGGAGGGGGAGAAGAGAAAGTTCTTCAGTTCTCTCCCTTTTTCGCTTCCATCTTTTCCCTTTTCCCCCAGAAACGCCTGATACTCAGGCTAAAGAAGGATGGGGGGGGGGGGGGGGGGGGGGGGGGGGGGGAGAAGAGAAAGTTCTTCAGTTCTCTCCCTTTTTCGCTTCCATCTTTTCCCTTTTCCCCCAGAAACGCCTGATACTCAGGCTAAAGAAGGTGATAATTTGTGTACTATGTTGCAATCAGTGTGTTGTCTATTCCATGCGAAATCCTGTCGTTTATCGGACCGCGAAAAAAGCGAAGTTTTGCTAATTATTTAAGTTGTTATGTAAGCCTTAGCCAGGCACTTTTTGGCTGCATTTCTCTCAACTTAAAAATTTCTAGACTGAAATGACACCGGTTTGAAACTTCACGGAGTCAGATTACTGAAAAAATGGTCTAAAATTTGCGTCATTTTAAATTTGGGCTGGCTGAAGGGCTTCTAGGGACCACTAACTTACTACCCGGCGTCAGATAAAGGAACCCTTTGATGGGCTCCTGGTGTAACTCATCTTCTATAGTGTATCAGTCCTTAACAGAACATCTCCGTCTCTCCTGCTCACATTTGTTGTTGATACACTACTCAACTTTCCATTGCCATACAACATACCGGTAATTCTTTCTTACACCAACACATCCCGCGTGCACACCTTCGGGCGTCTTCTTCTTTGACAGCCCGCCTTGAGCCTGCGATAAGAGAGGCGAAGAAGCTTGCGCAGAACGTTTTTTCCGTCCTGAAACCTGACACACCCCTAATATGAAGTACCTGGCTGACCAGTTACTGTGACGTAAACAAAACGCTCGAAAACGTGGTATGTGGTTGAAGGCAATGTAGTTTCTTCTACTTTGTTCGGGTGTATTTGACGGTTTAACAGTGTTGTTGATGTCAGAATGACAGCAAGATTCGATGATCGTTTAAGGACGTTCTCGACGGAAAGTTGCGACTCTTTAGAGTCTGAACAGACAGAAAAAAAAGGGAAGGACGAGGTAACCAGCCGTTTATTCTTATGATTAAGAAACTAAAGCTTTTTTGCCGTATTATCTCTTTTAAAGTACTTTGAAGCGTAATTTGAATTCGGGTCCGATTGGTGTTTGTTTTCATTACTTTTACTTCGAGGTCTGGGAGTCGAAACGAAAACTGTCAATCCAAGGGCCGGAGGAGGAAGACACAAATTTCCCTAGAAAGTTATTTAAACCACTGAATCAGCAAACTCGCCTGGTAGCGAACTCACAGCTGTTGTCACCAGAATGTCTGCCAAATCCCCAGGTAAGGATTACTTTAGTTACGACCCTGCCCTATGAGGGAAAGCGAGAGCGAGCGCATGAAGATGAAGACAGTGACACAAACATCGTCTGACAAATTGTTTCCAATAATTATGTTGTTGAATTCAACCATAAAATGTTGCAGGCGCAAAATTTATGGTCGACCATTTGTTTCAAAATTATGACACGGTATACGTGCGTTTTTTTCCCACGTATACTTGCGTTCTTTCCTGCTCTGTGGGGTTTTTATTCCAAAGTATATGACCATTTTCTTACAAACGCGCATATATATGCGCACAAAAAAAGCCCATAGATATGGGTTACAAAAAAACGTGTGTATATGGGACCACAGCAGGTCGTCGTATAAGAGGCATCAAAATTATACCGTCGGCAATAAACCACTTCATGTAGGATGGAGCTTAGAGAAGTAACTTCAGTTTGAATCAAGCTTGGCCGCAATGGCCGTATTAATTTCAAGTAAGGTTTGGCTCTTATTCATTGCCTTCGCAGTAATGGTGGTTGTTGGTTCCCCTACAATGGATTTGTTGGAATCCGTGGATTGTCTCTTGAGAGACTGTGAACGTTACTTCCCAAATGCTGACCGAAACATGGCAGAAAACTCAATTGTACGACTCAAGGTTACGATCAATTCAGTTCGTGGATTGCTAGATTCCTTGGATCGAGGTGAGGCAGGAAATACTGGGAAAATTCTGGTTCTTGAAAGCCTGGTATTACATCTACAGACCTTATTAAGCAGGTGGGAGATGCTAGCAATTGTAAACTGTAGCTGCATCATGCATGTCTATTTGCCCTATCGAAGGATTGCCAACAGTTTCTCCTAGAAGTCGAGGAGTCAGCCTTCCTTGGTATGAAATTTCTTTACCGCAGCTGGAGTTTCTCCACAATACAATGCGATTTACCTGGTCACAAATAACGGGAATGTTATTGGTTTCTAGAACCACTCTTTGGCATAGAGTTCAGAATCTTGAGTCATTCGCTAACCGTTATACCACATCTCAGATGTGGAATTGGATGAATTAATTGGAGAGATAAGGAAAGGCTTCCAAATGAGGGAATCAGCATGATGCTGGGACACCTGCACAGCAGAAATGTTTTTGTCCAACGTCAGCATGTTAGGTCAAGTTTGGTTTGAATTGATCCTGTTGGTCGGTCTTTGAGATGGTTTAACACAATCGGAGGGCATGTTTACAGTGTCGGGGGACCTAATTCTCTTTGGCACATTGATGGACTGCATTGTCCATCTGTTGGAGGTTTGTGATACATGGGGGTATTGACGGTTTTTCAAGGCTCATTATAGTTCATTTACGTTGTTCAAGAAACAATCTTGCTGCAACAGTGCGTGCACTTTTCGTAGCAGCAGTAGAAAGAAATGGGTGGCCTTCTAGGGTACGATCAGACAAAGGGGGTGAAAATGTAGATGTTGCAGCATCTATGCTGAGACACAGGGGGTTGAATAGGGGAAGCACAATCACTGGGCTCTCTGTACATAATCAACGTATTGAGCGACTCTGGAAAGATGTCTTTGTTGGCATTGGTCATTTTTTTTACACTCTTTTCTATCACATGGAACAAAATGGTATACTTGAGTCAACAAACATCATTGATCTGTTCAGTTTGCATTACATTTTTTGCCCAAGAGTTAACCATCAATTGAGTCTCTTCGTTGAAGCATGGAACCATCATCCTCTATGTGCAAAAGGAAATTGGACTCCCCAACAAAATTTAATATGGGTGAATGGTATGATTTCACAAGGTAATGCTGAAAATACTGCAGTTAGGGATAATATTTGAGGAAGACATGCAAGTTTCGCACTTTTATGGAGAAAACCCACAAGGTTCTCCACCTAATGAGTTTGACTTGGGTAGTGTTGAGGTGCCAGATACAATGCTTCCTATAAGTGGCTCTCAACTTGAGGCCATTTCACATATACAGCCTCTTTAAGAGAGTAATGACTATGGAGTCAGTCTCTACCTAGAAACACGGAAAATTATTCAGGCACTCATGCAAGCATGGAACCATAACAAAGGAGCTAAAGCTCAGTTGCATTTGACATGAAGGGATGTTAATGTTCATGTTACCAACAACAGGCATAAACACTTAAGTGTTAGTTGCATTACACTTAAACTTCTGATGATTTATGAACTGTCTCAGTGAAAAGAGTTTAACACAGTGTTTCAATACACCATGACATCATTATGAAGTGACAAAGATAAAACTAAAACTGAGCTAGGTATCCAGCGTGTATTAACAAAGATGTCAAGCAAAGAACACTACTGAATAGTAACTTTTATTTTTAAATTATAAACTCTCTTACTCTCTTTGTTATGAAGTATTAGATTAACATAGTAACGTACAGTGCCAGTCACGTTCTTCTGGCTATAGTCTATAGAGTCCATGCATTTCAACATAAATTGCTCAGTTTCACCAAAACATCATCAAAGCTCTTATAAACATGTTCTGAGAGATGTGTGATGCATCATCGATAACTAAAACTGGAACCTGTTATTGTTTTAAGAAAGGGAAATGCTAATAAGTCATTAATGGTCTACTGTAAAAACCTGTTTCCTCAAAGCTTTTGTATGGAAAAACCCTTTGAACTCAACAAAAATTCACATTCAAATTCTCTAGCATCTGTTCTCTTATTCAACCTCTTCCATATCCAACAAACTGGCAATTTATGCAGCTGTTCATTGCCCTTTTGAAAGAACTGTAATTCTCATAGTCACAGGGCAAATGCAGAATCCCAAAACATGAATCTGCATCTGACTCTCGCAAACTAATTAAAGCTCCAGTTTTGGTACCCTTTGGGAGAAATGGATCACCAAAAACAAATTAAATGAGATCCTTCAGTGTTATAAACCTGACAGCTCAGAGATGGTTTCACTGACTGTGCCATTGACAGTGCCCGTCTGTTTCGCTGAAATGAAAAAAAAATGGCCTCATTGATTTTCTCTCCTTTAACAAAACACATCTTCCATTTATAAACTTAAAGAGGGGACAAATACTGACAGTAACTGCTACAAAGTTGGTTTGGACAACTAGTTATATTTACAGACAATTAACTTCCATTTGTCTGATGCAAATAGGTTTTGATATATCTTTTTTCAATGTCTATCACAAATGCATTTATTGTTTTTAACCAGTCCCAGTGACACCATAACATTGTAATTTACCATTCACAATAGAATGCAAGTAACTAAATACATGTACATGCCTACATTCTAAAGGTGTTCAGTTACCTAAAATTTCCCTACCTTCAAATAAAACATAACCGCCTGTGCCATCTGTTATGCCTTGAAGAACAAGGTTGAGATACTATCTCGTCAAACCCTTGCCATCTATTCCATCCTCATCAATGAACTCAATATCCAATTCTCTTCTAATGTCTATCTCCCCTCTCTTCATATCTTAAATAATTCTCTCACTAACAGGGGAGACTGCCGTTGCGTACGGATAATTTGTCAAGTAGGAGTTCCGGTATCAGGATTTTCCTCCTGAACACGTCCATTGCAGTTATAGGGTCCTTCTTAACAATGCTGAGTGGAAAGGCATCATCTTCATTTTCTGAAAAATTATATAAAAGATTGAGGTAAACATTGCATTCCAAAACAACCACTTACAGGAACTTTGCAACTATAATGTGTGCTTCAAGTACTCTTCACTTAGTATTTACAGGGGGTATTCAAAAACAGCGTCTGTGACAAAACAAAATATCTAAAATACTATGTACTTTAGATGTGTTATCAATAATTTTCACATATATCATGTAGTAATGTCAGCATTTGTAATATCTCAAATCCACGAACATTGTCAACATTGGGTTCTCAGAGCTTCCACATACTTTTGCTGAGGGGTCATTTAATCACCCTTGCCCAGTAAAGAAATAATTATTATTGTAGAAAATATGAAATTTTGTAAAATACCTCTTTCAATCAAGATGTCTTCAGCATAATCAGCAATCCAGGATTCGATTTGTTGCTTCTTCAAAGGCTTGCTGCCACATCCACATCATTTACACCTGGAAACATTTCTTTAAGGGTTTCCAATTTACTTTGCTCAGATTTTACATGTATAGGAAGGTAACAATTCTGGGAAAACTATCAAGGTACTAGCCTCCATGTAACTGGGTCTAAAAGCAAACAGAAAAATGACAGATCAATGGTGAATAAGAAGATGAAATTTATCTTTAAGAAGTAGCCAGATTGAGTAACATACAAAAATAATAATAATTGGTACCACTAAAATTAACAGCCACCAAGTGTAGTTTTTCAATCAAAATGAAACTGACTGAAAATCATCATAATTATTTGTTAAGACTTTTATATGCATCTTCCCACTTACTGTTTTCTCATAAACTACTGGTAGTGTACCTTAGCCTTACCTTAAAAGAGCCCAAGTACAACCAGTTTCCAAATAGTTGTGACATTTGTTAAAAAACTACCTCAGAGGGATTCAAAGTTGTCATTGCAAGTGTTGAAGGAAAAGAGAATATATCACTCCGGTACGAAATTCCGCAACGGTATCATGTAAATGCGAAACGACCACAAGTTTCGGTGTGAAATCGGTCTGCTGGTTAATCTGCTGGTAGACTGGAACGGGTAGCACATGCGTAATGTTTGCGATTTTGAATCTTACGTGTATTTTATCAACATGAAGTGTACCTTCAAATAACGAGATACGAAATAAAAAAGACATCCCGGTATGAAACTCGCGCCGGAGCGAGTTTTCTCATGTAAACACCCCCAAAGAAACAGTGCTTCGGGGTAACATCACTTGGCCTGAAATGGAAAAACAAAAGATACAAGCTAGAAAGGTCTATTTATTTCATATTGTCGATTAATAGCTGTTTTCATTTATTCTTCTTTTATTTTAAATTATTATTTAATCAGTAGCCTCGTTTTTCTTCCTGCTTAATTTGAATTATTAGAAGTAAAATTTTATTAGTCTAGAATTATTAGAGTCAATAATTACATACCCTAAATTAATTTAATATTGTTGATTGATAATTATATCTCTTAACCTTGTTACCTGTGTTTAGCTTATTCATGTCATTTATGTATTTTAAATTACTTTTAATCGGCTGTTATATTTTCCACCGTTTGTAAGTGGTTAGCCTGAATGTAATTAATAAGCCTTATGGTTTTCTACTCAGGCTGCCCTGCCTATAATCTGATAAAATAAGTAAATAAAAATGAATTCACTTTTTTGTTCTTACTTCTACGTAGCATTGCATAGTGTGGTGAACTGTGTAGTGTAGGATTGTATTGTAGGTAGCACTGTGTATATTGGACTAAGTAGTCAAAGAACGCGAGTGCGCTTTTATGTCGTGCAATGCAAAAAAGCAAAAAATGCAATTTAAAAAAAAACAGCAAACAGGGATTTAAAAAATCAGCTGGATACACTATTAATTATCACTTACAATCGGTGTATGTGAGGGCTAGTTTTGCTGTTGAAAGGAAAACTAATCTTTTTCAAGGGCAGTCCTCAATGCTTATGTAGAGAATTAATCATCCCTCGGATCTTCATGATGACTGTCCAGCATTCATTGAAATGAGAGACCATAGGAAAAGTCTGGATTGTCAAGAAGTTCCATTTATTATAAATTAAGGTACGAAATGAACAAGGTTCAGCATCAGAACAATCTCCCAAAAACTTATTACCAGTTATTGATGATTTTTATAAATTAAGTGTAGAATTTTGTAGTATTTTCGATGGTTGCTTTGTTTTCATAAGGTTTGTGTTATTTCTTTCACAGATGGTTTCTGAGGAAAGTGAAGATGATGAGGA